TTCTGTCTCCCCGCCTACCTAAGTTTTGCCCTATCAAAAGGCCAAGGCAGCTTCTTTAACCAATGAAAGCAACAGAAATACAGAAGGACCTCCTACACTAATTACATAGATACAATTTTTGCATTTTTCAATCAAATGACTTTTAAGAACCTGGACAGAAAACAATTGTTTCAATGCTTTAAGCTCTACAGTGACTGTGCACCACTTCTACAACCAAGAGTAAGAATTTTCTAAAAAAGAAAAATAGCCTTAACTTCATTAAGGGTATTGAAAATAGTATTAAAGATAAGAAATGTAAAATAAAATGTCTGAGATTAAGCAGGTCAAGAGCAAAGGGCTTTCCTAATATTCACAAATCACAAATTCTAGAAGCTTCTTAGAAATTACTCAGGAGGCAAGTGATTTGTGGCACAAACCATCTACTCAATCAAGTAAGGAACAACCATTCTGCATGCAAACACTGCCTCTACCCGTCCCTCTCAACTGCCCATTCTGCCAATAAACACTGCTTCTTTCAATAACTGAATCAGCCAACTTAACTCTCTTGCTTAGAGGGTGACAAGCTTCTAGTGTACCTGAGCCCACCTAACAAATTGGCAAGTCTGTCCTCCTTCAACACCCATTTTAAATACTATCTTAGGAACCAAATGGTTTATGATTTCTTAAGAATTCTTTTTTGGTTGTTTGTTTTGTTTTTCAAAACAGGGTTTCTCTGTGTAGCCCTGGTTGTTCTAGAACTCACTGTGTAGACCAGGCTGGCCTCAAACTCACAGAGATAGCCTGTCTCTGCCTCCCCACGCCCCTCAGTTCTGGAATTAAACGTGTAAACTACCAGAGCCCAGCCGAAAAATTCTTATTAAAAAGATGAGTCCCACAAATGATTGGATCCAGATAACAAAAATCAAATGTTCTTCCTCTTGGGGCAAAAAGCATTTGAAACAAAAACTTATCTCAAGGTTTCTGTAGTTACCACATTATTTCTGCAATGCCTAGAGCCTAAGGTGTCTATCCTGCCAAATCCAGAATGTATAATGGTTACTATGACTACTATTCCGGCTCCTACTATCTCATAACCAATCCCCAATCACTGTTTCCCTTCAGTGGAAACAAAAGCTAGGTGTAAATCACTCTTCCTTAGTTATCTGTGGATCTCTTTCTGACATCACACTTGTTTCTACTATGCTTGACTTTTATTTAACATAATTTAGGCTCTAATGCTCCCTTGTGGTTGAATTTTACTGATTCTGGCAATTAGAAGTCATTTATCCTTCTTAATTTCTCATCAAAACTACTCCCAAATGGAAGAAAGTTAGATTCAAAGCTGTCTCAATGACAGTATCCTTTCTCTTCTTTCATATTGGTTCATATTGGTTAAAAAAAAAAAAGCAGAATCTGACAGGCCTTGTGGTGCACACCTTTAATCCCAGCACTAGGGAGGAAGAGGCATGGGGATCTCTATGAGTTTGAGGCTGGCCTGGTCCACAGAGTGAGTTCCAGGACAGGCTCCAAAGATACACAGAGAAACCCTATCTTGAAAAATAAAACAAAACCAAAATCTGAACTTTTATAAAGAACAGGTCTTTTTTTAAATATGATGACATGCACAACCATCATTTGCTTATTAATCAACTGCTACCTCAAAACAAACAAAGAACCCAAAAACACAGAAACTGGTTTTAAGAAAACCATGCAAAGAGAAAACACTCTCTTTTGTAATTCAAAGAGAATTACAAAGATATTCTGAAGGTTCTTCCCAATTCTAATGCAGCCAGATAATTCTCAGGCCACAAACCACCCTCCACACCTTCAATAAAGGCTGACACTCCTCCCACTTCTTTAATGGCAGAGAGGAAACTAATTGCTTATTGTTCAACTGTAACTCTCCTCTGCCATCATCACTGAACAGTAGTAACCTCTGTTTCGTAATACTTCCTTACCACATTATCTACTTATCAAACTCAGCCCCAGTCAGGAGTCACTGTTAACATAGGCATGAATCTTTTCAAACCCGGTTGAGTGTATACAAACATCAGAAGTAGCCGCTTCCCTTGTGCAAACTTGCAGAAAGTCTACAAGTTTCTATTTCTCTCCAGTCCATTAAAAAGCAACATTAAGACAGGCAAGGAAACAATTTACATTTCAGCCATGTGATATTTAGTATTTTAGTGAAAGCATGACCCTTATATACCTAGTATCTTACTGTGTCTTTTCAGACAGAATTGGCACTATTTCCCAATACCCTTTCCACTCCCAGGATACAAGGAAAGGTAGGTAGGGGGTTAGAGCCCATACATTTAACTTAACACAACCAACTTCGAAATTATTTTAGGACATTCTCTTCTCATAAACTTAGAGCTCTTATTCCTCACAAATGAAATACCAGCTTTAGAATTATTTGTGAAGAATAGTTTTCTAGAAAGGATATTGCACCCCTTAGAACATTCCATTAGAACATTCTTCCAAATGCCATTGTGCCTTGAGTGAAAATGTTCGATAAAGTAGGTTAAAAAAGCCAGTAATTGGGGCAGGAGAAATGGCTCAGTGGTTAAGAGCACTGGCTGTTCTTCCAGAGGACCCTGCTTCAATTCCCAGCACCCACATGGCAGCTCACAACTGTGTGTAACTCCAGTTTCTGGGGATCTGACATCTTCACACCAATGCACATAAAATGAATTAAAAACAAACAAACAAAAAAAGAGCCAGCCATATGTTACAAGCATGAACTTCTTTGGGGATGGGGGGGACCCTGAGGTTAACTATATATAAATCCAGACTGGCTTTGAACACTCCTCCTTCCAGCCCCAGCTTCCTTCCCAAGCATCAGGATTACAGGTGTTTGCCACCACACCCCTCTACAGTCACAGATTTTTATATTTCATTTTAGTAACTTGGTATTTCTCCATCTTAATAGTTGGCAGTCTCTGAAGAAATACCATGCCTACAAATGCTAAATTGTTGGGATTCCGGGAGGTCAGGACTTGATTTACTATTTAGTCAGAATATCTAGTGACTGAAAGGAACATTCAGACAGAAAGCATCTCTCACACGTGGCCGGCTTGGTCTGGACTTCCTTTTTCCTCACCAGTTCACCCATTATCTTCTAGCTCCAAGGTTCAATTTCCCTGATACATTCTATATCACTACAGTGTTGTCTCATTAGCCACCTTACACTGCTAGTGAAAACAGAGAATTCTTCCATGGCTCACTACTGTCCTCAAACTCACTATGCAGACCAGGCTTGGCTTGAACTCACAACGATCCACCGGCTTCTGCTTCCTGAGTGCTGGGTTGAAAGGCCAGCGACACCAAGCCTGGACCACAGATGGGACTTTTATCACACCCTCTCTCCCACAGTCAGCTTTTGGAAACCAATCTTTTGAATCGTAACACCTTATACATTCAAGGGAGGTCAAGTCTTTCCTATGTACTCCCATCCTAAGCCTTCGCTCTTCCCCACAGTCTCAATAACTCATCTTGACCTGGAGAAAACCCTTCCACGACACAGGGTTAACAGGCCTGTCACCGACTCTGATTCAGGGGACAGGTTAGTATCTATGTTAATGCCAAAGCAAGGTCATCATCCTATCAAAACTGCAATAGTCACACTCCAGCTAAGGGGTTTAAAACTCTTCTTCCTGGTATCTGCACAAGACTTAAAAATGTTAAAGTCAAAATCATCTCAGCATTCTCTTCCAGCAATGTTACGTCTTGAATCTCTTGAAGAAGCTCATCTTAGAAACGTATTTCACTAGAGGAGTTAGCAGACATAAATGAAAGGCTAGTTTAAAAAAAAAAAAAAACACTGTCAGGAAAACCAGGCCTGTTGGCACACGGCATTAATCCCAGCACTTGGGAGGCAGAGGCTGGAGAATCTCTGTGAGTTCGAGGCCAGCCTGGTCTACAACGCAGGCCAGTCATGGCTGTTACACAGAAAAACCATATCTCAAAACAAACACACACACACACACAAAATGCTGTCAGGAATTCAGAACTCTGTAAGGTATTTTAGAACTGCATGAATACGGTTGATGATTCAACTTCTGTTAATTAGTACAAGGACTCATGACAACTTACCACTGGATTAAGCAATGCCCTCTTCGATAGCTCTGTTGCTTGGTGAAAGGGGCCACCTAATCTAACCTGGATGGTGGGATGGGGGTCTCACCAATCGCACAACAGGACAACTTTCAAGACACACGGGGAGGGGGTGGGGGGTGGGGTCCCTGTCAAGTCCACCGTCAAGGTTTTCCTGGTAAAGGAAGTTCAGAATGGGGTAGGAAGAGGCTGCCTGGGTGAACTTCCACAACCGTACTGCCTAACTTTCCTAACTCTTCCTGTCGGGGCTGCAAGACTCTACAGGAAGCATGTACTTGAGGGGACCTGAGAAGGAACCCTAGAGAAAGTACAGACGGGCTCCGAGGGCGTTCCTATGCTTCGCAGTGGGAGAGGCCTGCACTGCTTGCAGGATCGGGACTAGGAGAGGAAGCCCTGCTTCCAGGGACCCGGAGGGCCCTTCAGAACAGCAAATGCTGGGGAGCTTCACACAGCTGAGGAGCCGGGCAGACTTAGGGAGTCCCGCGTGTTGGGGAGCCCAGTCGAGACTGGAGAGTCGGGCAGAACTCGGGAACCCCGCACATCTAAGAATCCAGGTAGACCTGGGGAGTCCTGCATGGTAGAAAGCACCTCATCGCTGGGGAGGCGGAGGCCCGCAGGGCTTGGGTAGCCAGGTAGAAATGGGGAGGCTCGAATAACTGGAGAAGCGGCATAACTGGGGAGCCCCACACGGTTGTTGAGTCCCGCGCTGCCCTTGAGTCTCCCTCGCGTTCAGGTGGAGGCCCAGTCAATGCCGGGTCCGGGCGCCAGCGCACCTGAGCCGCGCCCAGCCGGCCGCTGAGAGCCGCCCGCGCGGCTGCCCGTCCGCCCCGGCCTGGCCCGGGCTTCGGCTCGCGGGGTCCCGGCCCATAGCCCCGGCCCCGCCCGGCTTCTCGGTCTTGTCGTACCTGGCCGGCAGCCGCGGCAGTGGCGGTGCTGCTCTTCACGTACCCGTTCCTCACTTCCCCGTTCTTCACGCAGCCGTTCGCCCGTAGCGGGCGGCGGCAGCAGCAGCCGCCAGGCTCCGGCCGCATCGTCCCGGCAGCACCCGGTAGCACGACAGGCTCTGGAGGCGGCTGCGGCGCCAACTCCCGCTCCACACCGCACCCACCTCCCCGAAACCGGAAATGGCTGCAGCGCCGCTGCCAATTCCCGGTCCGGCCGTCACACAAGGGCGGGGCCAGAGGAGAAGACCAGGTTCTCCGAAGCCGGGCTGCCGGAGGGACCACGGGGCGGAGCCTGATGGAGTCCGACCAATCCAAAGGCTAGGGAGGCGGACCTCATGCTGCTTCTGGCCAATCAAGGCGAGAGAAAAGCGTCTTGCTAGCGTCAAGGGGGCTTCTTCGGAGGAACTCGAGAGCTGGGCGCTTGATTGGAGCCCTAGACAGGTCGTAGGTGGAGCTTTGCTGCCTAATGGTCTAGACTGAGGAGGAGGCGGAGCCCGGAAGGAAGTAGCCAATTAGCGTGTGGAGGAAGAGACAGGGGGCTGAGCCCAACTCCAGAGCCGGTTCCCGGTTCTGCACAGGTGGTGGTTGCCCTCTGTGCCCTTTCTCCCTAGAGGTTCTCGGATTGAATCCAAGCCCAAGACAGGCAGCTCCCTTACTTCATTAGCAAATTCCTCTGTGGGTGTTAATAGAATAGCCCTTTTGACTGTCTCTCACCGTTCCTCACCGTGCGCTACGCAGACGTCTCGAGTGCGCACCGCTTGTTTCTATCCGGGTTTGCCCTGTACAGTTTCCTCTGAAGACTTTCCTTGAAAGTCAGGAGACCTGATCTATTTTCAGATCTTCTGATAACCGAAACTGAAATTTGAGAGTTAACTACTTTATGAGTCAACTTCTTTTTAAAATTCTTCCTGCTTCATAGATTCATTTGCAAGAATTACATTAGGAAAGCGTTGTGCACCTATCAAAATACCTAATCCAGACCAGTAGTAAAAGAAAGGAAATCGTTCCACATTACAGCATTACAGAGAACTTTAGTTACCCATAAATTTTTAGTGTCATGATTAAGAGTATGACTCAATCTTGGTTTGAATTCTCGCTGCCTCACCTACTAGCTGAGTGACCTCCGTGTGTCTTCCTCTGCTCTGGGGGATAATAATAGTTGCCATAAGAGAATCTAATGAGTTAATGTATGTGATGTATTTTGTGCAGGACCTAGCAATTAGTAAGTGTTCATTAAGTACTGGTTATTATTAATTGCTGAACGTGCTATGTGAACCCCAACATCATACAACCCCTACTCCCCTGGAGCTTTTAGAAATGAGTTGGCAAGGTATTTGTTTTGCTCGAATTAGGAGAGGACCAGTCTAACAGAAAGTGGAGAGAGCACAGAACTACTTTCAAGTCATGAGCATTCTGATCCCAAAGTGAATACGCTAATCAGAAAGAATTATATGGGGCCTGGAGAGAGGACTCAGCACTTAAGCGCACTTAATGCTTATACAGAGGACCTGTATTTGGTTCCCAGCACCCATATAGTGGCTCAGAGTGTCAGAGGATCCAAAGTCTTACATTGATTTCTGAGGGCAATAGGCATGAACTTGGGCCACATACATACGTGCAGGCAAAACACTCAGACACATAGAATAATACATTTTTTAAAAGTTTTTTTTTGTTTTTCTTTTAAAGCTCTGTATACCTTTAAGTCAAACATGGAAATGCATGGATATGATGCCAACATTCATGAGGTGGAGGTAGGAGTATCAGGAGTTCAAGACAACCTTTGGCTATAAACCAGTTCCAGGTCAGCCTGGGATATATGAGTCCCTGCCTTAAATATGAGGGGGTGGAGATGACTCAATAAATGGAAGACTGCCAGGAAAACGTGAGGAGTTAAGCTCAGATTCTGAGCATCTCGTTAAACTCCGAGTGCTCAGGACATGGAGCCAGGAGGATTCCTAGAGGTATCTGGCAGCCAGTCTAACTGAATCGGTGAGCTCCAAGTTCAGTCAAAGACTCTGTCTCAAAAATAAGGTGGAGAATGAGTGAGGAAGAAGCCCGAACGTTGACATCTGACTATCATGTCACACACCCACCCACAAAGAAGTGTCTGCCTCGTGAAGCTTACACGCCACTGAGAAACAAGATATGGGGCTGGAGAGATAGCTCAGTACTGAAGAGCATTGGCTGCTCTTCCAGGAGTTGTGGATTTGAGTGCCTGAACCCACTAACTGATCATAAGCATCTGTATAGGTGATCTGATGCCCTGCAAAGACATGCATGCAGGCAAAACACTCAGACATATAAAATAAAAAAATAATTCCTTGCTGGGTGGTGGTGGTGGTGCACACCTTTAATCTCAGCACTCAGGAGGCAGAGACAGGCGGATCTCTGTGAGTTCAAAGTCAGCCTGGTCTATAGAATGAGTTCCAGGGCTGTTACACAGAGCAACTCTGTCTCAAAATAAATAAATAAACAAAAATTTTAAATTTGTTTTCAAAGTATATACCCATATAAAGGAAAATTTTTAAGATGAAATTAAAATAAAAGGAAAAACTTTTGAAGAAGGAGAAGAAGAAATAGGCAATAGGAATTTCAAAATGGGACATTGGATGACAGCAACAAATCAAACTACCACAGACAGTGGAGGTATTCAGGGCAGAAATCTGGTTGAAAAAAGAGCTAAGCTATTTGATTGACACTTAGATAGGGGGGCTGAGAGAATGTGGAAAAGGCTTGGACAAAAGGTGTGCAATTAGCTGGACCTTGAAGGGTGAGTGGGACATAAAACTGGTTCTGAATGTACAGGGGAGTTTGTTCCGGAGGGAAGGACCCACGGTAGCACATGTGCCAAGCTGGGCAGAACAGAGCCTGGATCCTGGGAAGAGCCTGTCCCTTCCTCCTGAGGACAGGACACCACCAGCTTCTTATGTTGTTCTGCCACTTACTCACCACTTGTGGCCTTAAAGCAGTCACACACAGCCCTGATTGCCTCACTTGCCATCCGAGGTTAATTCCTGCACTTCGTCTCTTGCTAGACTGTTGTGTGTACATGATATAATACACAAAGGACGTGATTACTCAATAGGCCATTGCTAAATCCCCAAAAGGACTCTGCAGTGGGAAACACCCGGGACTCCACAAAACCTTCCAGATCCACAAGCTACCTCCTGCTCCTCATTTCACAGAACTTACATGCAAAGTCTCATGCTCGGTACCAGAACTCAGCTCTCCTTGTCTTCAAAGATGGCTCGAATCACTTCAGCTGTGAAGCTTTTCTTGAAGCGCATCGTCCCTATAAGATCAGATGGCCTGTGTCACATGGCTTTGGAATTCTCAGAGAGTGCGTGATCACAAACAAGAACTCCGTTGTCAAATCCAGGAGGATTGAAGACCCAGCTCCAGCACTCACAAACCTTGTGACTTAGCAGTCTAACTCTCAGTGACTCAGTTCCTATGTGTATGAAGTGGAACACACGGACTTCACGGAACTGGGGACTGACTCCAGGCCCAGGGATTCAGCGCCTTCTTTTACTTCCACAGGCACCTGTGTGTGCATGGTGTGAGAACACACTTGGACACCCGCAAGCATGCACATGTGCACACACATGCACACCACGATAAAAATAAATTTTAAAAAAGAATTTTATTTTGTGGTCTAATGAGGTATACTGTCTAAGTTTAGGGGTAAGGAGAGTGCTAATACAGGCAGATTCGGGGTTACAAAGATTCAGAACAGAGCTCTTTGCTGTTTTTAATACCTTGAGGTGGCTTTAGGAAAATCTGCATCATCTCTACAGGCAATTCTATCTTGACTGTCCATCAACAAGAACCAATTAGGTTCCAGAGAAAGGATCTTTTTTTCCCTTCCTCATGCCCCTTAGTTTTCCCTGTCTTTCTATCTAGCCTCATCAGTGAGACCATAAAAGACTCACAGGACAGAAAGGAGCCTTTTTGAAGTCAGCTGCTTCTGTATAAAACAAAATAAAAACACAAAGACGGGAAGTTCAGAGCTGGGAGGCCATCTTGATGTTAAGAGCATATATAGCACTTCCTTCCCAAGTCCTCCATGCTTCGTTCATTCATTTCTCCATTTGGTCATTCCTTCATCAATAAATAATGTTTTGTTAGCTATCATGTTCGGTGTCACAGTGATAGGCAGGAACAGCAAGGTCTCTATTCTCAGGAAACCTTCAGGGTGTTTTTGTGTGTGTATGTGTTCATGTGTGTGCTGGTGTACGTGTGTATGGAGGTCAGAGGTTAACTTTGGGTGTCATCCTCAGGAACACTGTCCTTCTCCTTTAAGATAGGGTCTTTCTTTTTTTTGTTTGCTTTGCTTTGCTTAAGACCGGGTTTTTCTCTGTAGCCCTGACTGTCCTGGAACTCTGTAGATGAGGCTGGCCTCGAACTCACGGAGATCTGCTTGCCTCTGCCTCCCGAATGGTAGAATTAAAGCGTGTGCCCAGCAAGACAGGGGACTGGAGGTCATCAATCAGGCTAGGGGCTGGCTACTGAACCTCGTGAGTCCTCCTGTGTCTGGCTTCCCAGTGCTGGCATTACAAGAACTCAGCACTGTGCTGGAAAGCTGAGAGAGAATTCTGAAGAAAGAACTCGGTTTGCCACACTTGCTAGTAGACTGAGACATCACCTTAGCCTTTTATATTTATTTATTTCTTTGTTTTAAATGCTGTGTTATGCAGCCCAATCAGGCCTTGAATTTACTTGATAACCCTAGATCTTTAGAGTCAAAGATGACCTTGAACTCCTGACCCTTCTGCCTCCCCAACTGCTGAGATTACAGGGATACAACACCGTGCCTATCTTCAGATTTGATTTGGAAGGGATGGGCTGGCCTTTTCCCTTTCCATTATCCCTACACTAATATAATAAGCCAAGGAAAGAGACTACTGTCCTCCCTAGATTTCAGACTCCACTCTCAGTACCACATTTGCATCTCCCGAAGCAGGACAAGCATCATTGGCCTTCTTCTGGTCTCCATATGTGCTCCATTATCAGGACTGGGCTATGTAAAGAAATGACTGCATGTAAATATGAGACTTTAGGAGGAATAAATGGTTCCTGATCACACACCTAGAGGGTGCCCACTGAGCATGCAGGAGAGCGATTTTAGTCTGTGCCATATAAAGCATTGACAGTAGGAATTCTGAGGTTAGAGATGTGATCTGGGAATG